CTCCTCTTCCCCCCTCTCTAAAATCAATAAGCATATCCTCAGGTGAGGATTTAAAAAAAGAAAAGGACCCTGGCTAGTGTGGCTCAGTTGGTTGGGCATCATCCTATATACCTAAAGGTTGCTGGTTTGATTCCTGGTCAGGGGACATTCCTGGGTTTGCAGGCTCAGTCCCTAGTAGGGGTATGCAGGAGGCAGCCAACTGATGCTTTTCTTCCTCTCCCTTCCTCTCTCTCAGGTCAATATAAACATATCTTTAAAAAAGAAAGAAAGAAAAAGATAGCAAAAAATTATATACACACACACACACACACATATATATTATTAAAAAAAAGAAGAAAGAAAAATAGCCCCCATTGGTGCTGCACTGTGCAGAGAGTGGGCAGCTCTGGCATTTGCAGAGGCTGAGCGTTCAAGGGTCCAGCAAGGCAGGGAGAAGGGAGTGGGTAAAAAGCCTTCAGCCAACTGCAACCCCAAGTGAGTTCTCCAACAGCCAAAATAGAAAGGGGAATAGCATCACCCCTCATTCCCTTCCTCAGAGCAACACAGCTCTTCAGGCGCCCTTGGATCGGTCTATTCACGTTCTAAATGTTTTCTAGGGTAAGAGCTTGGGGTGATCTTTTTGGAACTTCTTATTGAAGTATAAGTACATATAGAAAAGGCGCAGATTGTAGTTGTACAACTTGATGGGTTTCACCAATGTGCGCCTACGTGGAGCCCCAGGTCCAACGTAGCCCAGGCCAGCCCCCTAAAGCCCCCCTGCTTCCTTCTCTCACTCTCCTCTGGGGATTTCTAACCACAGGGCTTTCTTCCACATCTTCCAAAAAGAATCTTGTTTTCTTCTCCTTTACAAGAGAAGTATGCTAAACATACTTCCTGAGATGCCTAAAATATTTGAAAGGTACTCATGAAAAACAAATGCCACCCACTGTCGAGTTACCTTCTTCTACATGTGTCCCAGGATGAAGTCAGGACACACCAAAGCATTCTGGATTGCAGGGGTCACAGGTTTGAGTGGTCAGACATGCTCGTTTAGCACCTATTTCCCCACCACCATTTACTTCAAGGGCGGGCTGGGATACTGCCCCATTCACAATCTGTCCCTCGTTCCTGACACGGTATTGATTCTCCCTAAATATTTCTTGAACAAATGAATTTTTCTTTCACGCCTGCTTGCCCCTGTTCTTGAGGGCTTCCCCGTTTGAGTTCTGTTCAGACAGCTTATTGATCTGTGCTTTCCCACGAGTACTCAGCAGGAATCAGCCTGAACCCGCTGCCTCCACGCTGCCACCATGGTGAAGGCAGAGGCACAGAGGCAAGAAGGCGTCATCCCTCTTATTATTCCCACAGGAGCTTTGCCCAGGTGCTGGAACTCTCTGCTGGAGTGAGTAAAGAGGCAGCTTTAATCAACCAGGAGGTCTGGGAAGAGGCCCAGGGCCCTGTGGCCTCCCGCCAGTGGTATTTCAATGAGGAGGGCACCCCAGGGGAAACTCAGGGAGAGACCATCAGCCCACTCCTGTCAGATGCTGACAAGCCGTGTGCACTGTGAATCCACGTGCAGGCCATGACCCTAGCCCAAGTGGGGACCTTCTGCAAACCTTTGGGAAGAAATCACATTCGGTGCCACTTGTGCCAGAGCGGAATGGGTATGATATTCTAGAAACTCAAGCACTTTAGTCACCGAGTTCAGCAGTGTAGCTGTTTTTGTGTGATAATCTCTTGATATTTAAAAAATAAAACTGTTTGGCAATTGGGCTTGGTTTCTATATGTAAGGGAGGGGAGCAGAAGAGGGCCTCTGAGACATGAGTATTTCAATCTCAAGGTGATTCCTGTCCTTCAGTCACGGCTGTTTTGTTTAATATCCAACAGCAAGTTAGGAGTTGGTCCTCAACTGGAAATTCTCCATCCAGTTCAATGTCCCAGCAGTGGTCGCTGGGAGACCACCTGCGGGCTTTGGCCATTGCTCCAGTCTACACTCCACACTGGACTGTGCCGCAAAGAATTTGCCTGGCCAGCTCTTTAGCTCCATGGTTCCCATGGACATACCTTTTGCATTGCAACACCGGGGAGGGGTACAGCGCCGAGTAAGATACAGTATCCATCCCCGTCATGCATCCTGGGAAGAGAGATGAGATGCATCTTGATCTAAAACATGTCCAAACAGGCACACTTTCATCCAACTTTCACCTTAATCCCACCAACCCTTACCCTCTTAACGGGCTTTCTGGGGACTTCATCAGTAGGTTTGGGATCTATAGTTGCAGGTAGGGAAAACAGTCCCCAGTCAGACATAATAGCCATTCCCACAAACCATGCAGGTCAGGGAGACACAAGCTTTCCCCATAAGGTGGGTTTAAACCTTCCGGTTTCCATCCATACTACCAGCCCTTTCATATCTGTGTTTCCAAGTCCATTGAGGGCCTCATTAGGGATTCCCATGGAGTACCTGTATTAGAGTCCCAGAAACTTCATCCTCTGGCTCACCGCTCCCATTTGTGTGCAAAAACCTTTGGGGCCGTAGAAGGGGACAGACACTCCAGGAACCCTGGTCCTTTTGTCAGTCTTAATTAGCTGGATTAGTGCCACATTCTCATTATAATATCTGCCTTCTAGCTTTTAAAGTTTCCCAAAACAGGTAAAAACAGTGGACTCTTGGGGGCCCTTGAGCGTTCAGGGACCAGCAGGGGGTCCCCTATCCCACTCACTTCCATAATGCTGTGTTCAAACCTTCGCTTCAACCCTGTCCAATGGGCACTGGTGTACTGCATGCTTCAGTTAGGCAGGGGCTCCAGAGTGCTGCAGAAGGAGTCAATGGTATGTCAAATACACTCTTGTGCTGGGAACTAAACTTACAACTCCTTAAGGAACAACTCTGCATCATGAAAATGAATCACATGGGAAGATTACCATGATTTTAAAAAATGAAAATAGGTCAAAATGTGTGGGGTACAGAACTGTTTGTGTTAAAATTTCTAAAAACCTAGAAAGATAAAAATGTGTCCGGAGAAGAGGGATCGGAGGGCGGGGGACCTTGACCTGTTCATGGTGCTTGCTTGTTATTGTTGCATTTTGCATTCCTTTAACATTTTGGTTAACTGTTTTCTCATCTGTGTGTATTACATTTTCATTAAGAAATCCATAAAACAGAACTCAGCGAGCAGGCTTTCTAAATTATCATGCTCGTGTGTAAGTCACTGTATCTCAGCTTCGGCACTGTTGATTTTGGGGGCCAGATCATTTGAAGTGAGGGCCATCCTGTGCATTGAGGGATGTTGAGCTACATCCCTGGCCTTCACCCACCAGGTGCCAGCAGCACTCTCCCAACCTAAAATGTGTCTGGACATTGCCCAGTGATCCTGGGTGTTAGAATTGACCCCCGTGTGAGAACCCATATGATGCTTCAGGTCCAATCTGGCCCCTGCTTCAGCCACACCATCTTTCTCAGGTTCATTTATTGACTTCAACCCAGTTTCTGAAGAAAATACTAGAATACAGCTCTGTGGCGGCTTTTCAACTATGCCTGGGCTGAGAATTAGCACAAATTCTGAAAAAGATATAAACCAGGGTTGGCAAACTACAGACCTCAAGCCAAATCCATCCTGTTTCCTCTGTGTGTAAATAAAGTTTTATTGGCACACAGCCACACCCATTTGTGTACGTGTGCCTATGACTGATTTTATGCCACAGATGGCAGAGTTGAGTCTTTGGAGACCATCTGTTTTGCAAAGCCTAAAATCCTTACCATACGGCTCAGAGGAGTTTGCTAACCCTTGATCTGAATAATAAAGTAGGAAATCTAACTTATAAAAGAACATATTTAATATCTTCCTATGGGACTCAAAAGCTGTCACCATTTTGAACAAGGAGGTGTGGGCTGAGAAACAATTTTGCTTTTTGTGAATTGCTCTCATTCAAAAGAAAAACTGTCTACTCGTGCTGCAGAGGTGGGCATGTGAGGTGCTGGATGAGGTGCTGCACTGGAAGGAGGCTTCAGAGACTTTTTTTTTTAATCTTCACCCAAGGATACTTTTTCCATTGCTTTCCAGAGCGAGTGGAAGGGAGAGACAGAGAGAGAGAGAAACATCGATGTGAGAGAGACACATTGATTGGTTGCTTCCTGCAGGTGCCCCAACCAGGCCGGGGCTCATGCCCTTGGCCAGAATTGGACCCTTCAGTCCGCAGTCCGACACTCTAACCACTGAGCTAACCTGGCTAGGGCCAGAGACTTCTGGAATGACTTCAGAGACTTCACACTGACTAGAACTGAACACCAACTATGCCACTAACTATAGTCTGAGTGGCAGACCCCTCCTGGTCCACATTTCCCTCTTTTTCTGAGAATTTTTATGAGTTTATTTGAGTGAAACTGTCAATATACGCCAGGGTGCAAGATCTCAAATACTCCCCATTTTTTCCATTTTTTTCATACTGAACAAATGTTACATCCAGAATCTGGGAAACTACGGTTTTCATATCAGTTTGGTGACAGCTTCTAGAAGGAGGGGTGATGAGAAGACAGGAGATGAGAAGATGCAACCAGAATCCTCCGTGAGAGTTGGTAGGGAAACAGTCAAAACGAACTGATGTCAAAAGGCACTGCCATCACGGTGACACAGCTCTTTGGAGCACACAAGGAAGGGAGTGATGCTCTGTTTGGGGAGGTGTTAGAACCTCCCACTTCCCCACTATCCTTCCTCGCACCCCAAATCTGCCATCGCACCAAAACTCTTCCAGCAACTCTGACTCTCCCAGTAAGGAGAGGGAGTTGTAACTTCACATACCTGAAACAAAATTTACCGCTGCGCTCGTCACTTCCAGAATCAGAGCTATTTCATACCCTTTGCAATTCACTCCTAGGCATATACCTCAAAGAATTGAAAGCAGGTTGTCTTAGTTCAGGCTGCTATAACTGAATACCATAGTCTGGGTGGCTTATAAGTAGCAGAAACTTATTTCTCACAGTTCTGAAGACTGGAAGTCCAAGATCAAGGCATTGGCAGATTTGGTGTCTGGTAAGAGCCTTTTCCTGATTAATAGATGGTCTTTTTTTTCTAGTGTTCTCACATGGCAGAAGAGGTGAGGAAGGGCTCTGGGGTCTCTTGTATCAGGGCACTAATCCCACTCATGAGGATTCTACCATCATGACCTATCAGCCCCAGTGGCCCCACCTCCCAGTACCATCACCTTGGGGGTTAGGGTGTTAACATGAGTTTTGTGGGGACTCAACCATTCAGTCTGTAGCACAGGGACTAAAAAACTTACGCATAAATGATTGTAGCAGCACTATTTACAGTAGTCAAAAGGTGAAAACAATCCAAATGTCCATCAACAGATGAGTGGATTAACAAAATGCTATATCCACACAGTGGAATATTATTCGGCCGTAAAGGAGTGAAGCGTGGACACATGCTACAATGTGGATGAATCTCGAAAACATCATGCTGAGTGAGAGAAGTCAGACACTAAAGAACAAGTATATATTTTTAAACATTTTTATTGATTTCAGAGAGGAAAGGAGAGAGAAACATCAATGAAAGCTGAATAAAAAGAACAGAAATGAAAAATAGAAGAGAGAGATTTAAAAAAAAATTAAGATTCCACCCAGGAGTTTCCATATCCGACTAGTGTGAATTGTGGACAGAGGAAACAGAAGAGGAAAGTATAAAAGAAATAATACCAGATTGCCGAGGGCCCACTGAGGGCGCACACAGCCCACGGAAAAGAAAAGGCCCACATGGGGGTGTATTAACTACTTATTACTATTAACAAATTACCCCAAAACATAGCAGATCAAAACAATATACATTTATTACAGATCCTCTGAGTCAGTAATCTGGGTGCAGTTCAGTTGGGTCCTTTTCTTCATAGTCTCATGAGGCTGTAATCAAGTGCCTGCTAGGGTCTCATCCAAAGGCTCGACAGGGGAATCATCTGCACCTAACTTGGTGGGATTCAGTTCCTCATTGAGGGCTGTTCCACTGAGGGCCACTGTCTCTTGCTGGCTGTTGCTGATGATGTCCCTTGCTGGAGGCCACCTTCACTTCCATGCAAACATCTCCAACACTGAAGCTTATTTAATCAAAGACAGCAGGAGAAGGAGTTGGATAGCAAGATGGAGTGGCCATCTTTAGAACCATGGTCACGAAAGAGACATTCCTCAAAATGGCCTTATTCTATTTCTTAGAAGAACAGCCCTTGAGGGGAGGGGATAACACATGGTCATGAGAACCAGGAAGTAGAATCAGTCCGGTGCTGTGTTCAAAGCTGCCTGTCAGCATACATTTCAGAACACTAAGGATTAAAGATTTGCAAACTTGCAGAGAAAAATACAGGCACCAACATTAGTGGTGTCCGAAAGCTCAATAGCAACATCGGGAGCTTGGAAGACAGTGGAGCCAGGCTATATGTGGGGGACACTCAGGTTTTTCAAAATCATAAAAATGTGAGGGCTCCACAGACAGGTGGTGGAACTGACAAAAAAAAAAAAAAAAGAAAAGAAGAAGCCCTGCCTGGTTTGACTCAGTGCTTAGGGCACTCGCCCCAGGACTGAAGAATCTGGGGTTTGATTCCCAGTCAAGGGCACGTATCTCAGTTGCAGGTTCCCCGCCCTGGTCTGGGTGTGTGTGGGAGGCAACCAATCAGTGTCTCTCTCACATCGATGTTTCTCCCCCCCCCCCCGAAAAGCAATGGAAAAAATATCCTCAGGTGAGGGTTAAAAAAAAAAATTAACAAACAAACAAACAAA